TATGTTCTTAAAATCTGCCGGAATCTAATCAAACCCGTGTTTTGATAGTTCGATAAACACATGTTAACTAATTTTTATAGCATGAATACGGTAAGGTGCGAAAATTGTAAATCTTTTATAATAATTATTACCTATATTGAAAAACATGGATTGTGAGTAGTTATCAAAAGAAGTTGCTCACGGCTGTGGTATGTTGTTATATGGTACACGGGTGACAACCAAACATCGTCCGTGCACGGTTTTATGCCTTAACATCACGACCGATATTTCTCATGGATTTAAATTTTACATTAACGCCACTCCTAAATTAACAAAGGCGGAGCTCCGTTTGAATTATGATGGGAAGAGAGGTTGATAGTAATAACAGGATTTTCGACCCTTGACGGTTAATAAGATCAGTTGGCAAACTAATGGGGGTTAGGTCCTGAGCTATAAGTTTTTAATAAAATACACACGATTACTCGATAGCGGGTTGTACGATAAACATACTAATCGGGGGCCTTACAGATAATAGTAATTACAATAAGGGCCGTTCTTAACCGGAAGAATTCTGCCGGTAATAAAATCTGTTATCAGTCGGTTAGCGTTAACCGACACTTTACCGGACATTGTAAGAACGGCCCTTAGAGTGGGCAGAAAAGCTATGAAACTGCAACAGTTACACATTGAGGGAGGAATGAAATTATTACCTATAATAGATTTATAATCATAAATAAAAGGTACCTACGGACACACTACGAATTATAACAAATACGCATCAGAAAACGAGATCAATATAATGGAAATTAACGTGTACTATGGGTGACTTGAAACGATTTTTGACCTTAACAATTCTATTAAATTGGGTTCTTAATAAATAAAGGTAAAAAAAAAAAAAAAAATTAAGTGCTACCTAACCTAACCGGAGCTTTGGGTGACTTGGAACATCGAACATAGATTCGTTCAAATGCAGATTGTATTAATCATTTGTGGTGTAAAAAGTGATAAGAACAATATTTCTTTTAATTTAATATTAAACATTATTTTTAAAACCTATTTATCACCAAATAATACCTTTGGTCTTATAATTTGCAGTCTTTGCTGTTGTTGTGGAAGCAGAATTTTATTTTCCTTATCTAGCATAACATTAAACGTAATCAAAAAAAACACAATTATTTCAGGACGTTGCCTGGGTAGACGGTAGTGTTGACACGACACCTATTTACTATATTCGTCAATACATCTTGCGCTACCACATGATCTCGGATAATAAACAAAGACCATAAGTCTGATTATGGTTAGTCGGCCGTCGGAGTTCAATTGTCCGAATTTGCCCGTTTAAATGTGTTACCAACTAAGTTATATTATAGACGGTAAAATCGGCGGAAATTTTAGCGGAACATTGATAAACTTTGTTATGCATTCACTCTACATGGATCAGAACAGATTCCTAATTACAGTAAAAACCAGCTATTATTGGCGATCAACAGCCTATAAAATGAATTAAGTTGAAACGGGCCCGTTAAATTTTTCATTCGGCCCGTAAATTGATAAGCTTTTGATCGTCAATGGGGCCGGAATCATGGTCTAAAATAAGAAGCGCAGTTCAACCACCCACGATATACAAAAAGTAATGTGTGAGAGAAGGTCGCACCAATTTCCATTAACGAGGGGAACAAATGTACATTAATAATTGTGATAAGGGAAAGCAATTTATAGATGGTTTGATAAGAAAATTTCCAAAATAATTTGGTAATCTGCTGATAACACAACGAACCAACATTTGCCCTAAGGTAGGCTAGGGTTTTAATAAAATGAAGTTCATAGCCTAGTACTAGTTTATATTGACAAGAATGTAACTTCTTAATTATACCAAGATGCATATTTTAGTCTTCCCATTATTGTAACAGATTAAATTGGGGAAAGGTAAATAACCAACAGAATTGTTAAGTACAATAAGACTTAGATGGACCAGCATCGTTAAAAAAAAAAAAGGGTGGCGAAACCACAAATATGTGCTAACGAGGGGAAGGGAAAGATAGAGTATGTACTGGGGCTTTAGAAAGATTAGTCCCCGTGCGATAGACGTGGCTTACTTCACAAGCGACTAAATTCATTTAAGTGTTATGGATTCGGAAAAAATATTCATTTATTCAACTGTTCTGATCTAGGCTGTTTTACGTATTCTGTTCAAAATGAGATGAAGACTCGGCGGCGACCGGTCAGATGCTGTCCCCAATACGGCGACGCGTCGGGCGCTGCAATGGCCGCCGAGTCATTTTGAACAGAGTATAGGTTAGTGCATTTGCGCGCCGAAATAGAATGCCAATGAGACCTAAGTAATACGGTTTCCGCATGTTAAATTGAAACTCTTATATTAACGAGGTACCGCGCAACTTGTATTTCTAAACATTAATCAAACGGGCTGCCACATATTTGTTGGAAGGAAATAAAATGAAAGATATGATGCAGATATGAGTAAAATGGAAAATTACTTAATTTTTGAAAGTAATATCTTGGGGATATTTCTCAATAATTGTTGTAGTAATTGAGCAGACATACCGGTTTGATTAATGGAGCCAGTTCTTACACAATGTACAAATTAGATTGATGGCAGATTTAGGTAATGTAAGAAATGTAAGAACAGGGCTTTAACCCGTAGAACAGATTACTCAAAAAATAAAAAATAAGGTGCGCGAAAAACCCGATTTGAGCTGGTAACTGTTACCAGCTCGATAACAGTAGCAGAAACGGTATTTTGAGAACTTGATAATTGGAGAAAACAAGACGTGAGGAGCACCGACTAAGTAAATTTGTTGAGTAACCTGCTTATCTTAAATTATAGGACCATGATGTGAATTAGCAGTTACCGAACAGTTTTAACGTAGGCGATAAATTCGGAAGTTTAGTCAACGAGTAACGTGGCTCAAGATAACTGTATTATAAAATGCGAAGGTATAAGTTCTGTTCTTATTTAATAGTAATTAAAACTAAAATGTTTTTTCGTAAAATAATAAATATATTGTTTTACAAAAAATTAAGCAATTCCACAAATGAAAATTAAAACAAAAATTACCTTTGCCCATTTACCAAACTGTCTATTTTAATAAATTAGTTCAAAGAAAATATAAAAAATTAAATTAAGTGCGGGTAGAAATTAATTTACTTATACATATAAAATATTTCAAAGGAAAGTTAATAAAAAATAAAGTCAGATGATTACTTGTTAACCCACATCATGGACAACACTTAAAAATATATAATTGGCCAGTAATAATTGATCTCAACATTTAAGAATTATTAAATATTGAGAACAATATTTAGGTTGAACGTAATTTCACTTACCTTTGGACGACACAATCTTCGATCTTCAATGTTTCAATGTTGACATGATAAAAGTATGATAACAGTATGTTATTATTGAAACCCTGATAGTATACCGCTCTTTGCTTCCTATTCTCACTTATTAAGTTTTTTTTTTTTTTTTTACACAAACCATACTCTTTTCTCATTGTACTCTCCAATGTGGAATAAAGGATAAAAAAAAATACCGCAAACAGTAAATAGTCAAAAATTGTTGTCGAGCCTTGTCTAGTATAAAAATTAAAAATACTAGCCAAGAAAACTTACACCTACGACTAATGGACTGGTTTTGTTTCCTACTTATGCTAAGAAAATAATTAAGTCATTAAACAAGGCCCTAAAAAGGGCCTTTTAAATAATTATGCAATATAAATCAAAATAAAATGATTACATCTAAAAGAAATGATGAAGGAGTGAACAGGAAAAATAAAGGAATTATAAAGAGGTGTGGAGAATCCCTATTTACCGGTTACCTTATACTTACCTCCAATCAGCAAGTTCTTCATCGTTGATTCTGCATCCTTGTGAATGGTTCAGGCGATTTAGATTTTAGACATTAGAGTTGAGTTTAATTTAAAATACTTTTATTGTTTTTTGAAATATAGACACTGAAGTTTAAAATTGATAACTAGACATGATAACACGATCGTACTTGCTAAACTGCACCCCATCCCCTACTGCAGCCATCTTATTTTCAAACTCCCTCACCAGATGAATATTAATTTGTATGTTAAATACATTTAAGTGCATTGTAAGGGAAAAGGTCAGATCTCTGTTAGGATAATAAAAATTAAGCTTAAGTTTTTCTCAGGACCCACAGAACCTATATAACAACACAAGCTCAAAATCAGAAGTTCATGGGTCCAAAGAGAAAAACTTATTTTTATTCGAAACTTGTTGTTTAAATTTTAAAGCTATGTAATTTAAAATACAGATTTTTACTGTAGTACTATACAAAAGGAATATAAGAAAGGATAGATATAATTCAATTTGACACAAAAGAATAACTTACGAGCCTCCTTTCGCTCTAGTCAGACTTTTGACAAATTGATTATTAATTTAAAGAAATACAAGGAATAGATTATAAATAAATATGTATGCGCATAATATTAAGCCCAAACAGAGATCTTTTGAGGGGATCAAAATATTTTAAGTTAAGAGTTAACCATATTAATTATCTATTTGATTCCTCATGACCTACTTAATTATGATATGTATTTTTCTCTATAGGCTCTTTGATTATAACAAGACAATGAGGAATAGTAATTGCAAAATTAAATTATAAAAAAAATATATATATATACAAAAAAAAAAAGTGGTTAGCAAATGATTTCCTACACCGCAGGTTACTAAATAACAGCCAAAAAGTGCCCAGAAAAAAAAAAAGTACCATTCAAAGCTCAAACCGAACCAAGGCTGGGTCCAAATGTGAATATAAAACTAGTGACGAAAAGAAATTCCACATGTGAACCTTACCTAAGGCTCTGCCACAGCTATAATTCTATGATTATAATTGAAAAAACTTGGTGAACAGAAACTTTAAAATTATATTTGCAGTTGACCAACACTGTGATCAAAGTTCAAAGAATAAAATAAAATTCCACCAATTTTTTTCAATACTCCCAAACATACGACCTATCATATGAAAGGCCATGTGTTCAGAAGCCGTACAATTTAAATCGAGTCTTACCTTGAGTATCCCTGTGAGCTCCAACTGCTTCTTGTGCATTCATAAACACTTCATCCGTTTGGTTTCCAGACATCGGCCATTGATTAAAACCTTAATAATAAAAAACAATTTAATACAAATTACATAAATAATAACGTGTCATACATACTTTGGTTAGAGTTGTCATGTGATGGTCCAGCTCTTGACATGTCCATACTGTTGTCCATATCGTCATCATCATCCAATGTCAAGTCTTCTATACTGTCTTCGTTGTTCATATCTTCCAAATACTCAGTCTTAGGTTCAATCAGTTCACCAGTCGGTTCGATCTTTGGTCCTGCCACACCTTCAGCAGCTGATGCATCGTGGTTGTTGATGCGGCTGTTATCAGTCTCATGATCACCGTCATCCAACGGCGCACCTTTGGTTATGGTGGCAGGAATGTTAGGAACACCGACGCCGCTCAGGGCTCCGGACTGAAGGGGCGGTACATCACAGGAGTTGCTTGTATCAATATGACTGTCAGGATCGTCACTTGTCGACGGCCTACGCTGGTTGCGCCTGCGTTTTCTAGTAGGTGAGGCACTATCATCACGAGACCTGATGTGTGGACTTTCTGGCCTCCTCTCTATCGTTAAACCCTGTGCTACTGTAGATGGACCACGCGTGACAGACTGCTGGATTGGCTTTCTGACCGGAGCGGCAGCGGGTGCCTTGGCCGGTGCTGAAGAGGCTGCGCTGTCTTCATTGCCGCCACCATCAGTCAGACCCTTGATCTGCAGAGATTCTGCAGCTTTCAGGAACGTGCTTAACTGGTCTTGGGAAATGTTAACTTCTCCCCTGTACATGTAATCCATCATACTTTTTAGTTCTTGGAACTTAACGTCCTTCAGTATGACGATCGGATGCTTTTCATAATGTTGGCTTAGTAAAAGCTGGAAAAAAAATAATTTAAATTAAAATAACTATACAGGGTTGATAACAAAATTATATAAAAAAGCCCAACATACTATATATTAAAATTAATAAAACCGGAAAAATTACAATGATATACTCTGTTCAAAATAACCTTGCCCACTCGACAAACTCGTTGAGTTCGCACATGTCTGTTGCCACAGTCTGCGCTGTGTCAGCTGTGCGGCCATATATAAGGCGGGGACTGTCGGTAGTGGTCGACAATCAACGACCAATCACAGCGCTTCTGACTATCGCCAGGTCTGCGGCGGCTGTCGCGTACGCGAAATTGGGCAAGATTATTTTGAACAGAGTATAACTGATAAATTGATAACTGATAACTAGAACTAAAACTGAAGAACCAAAGATTGAAGAAAATTTTATAATTGTAAGGCATCCTTCATAAATGCATAACAATAAAAAAAACTGTGGTGAAGTTCATTAAATAAAAAAATAAAATACTAATAAAAGTAATCAATCAATTGATAGACTATTATAATTGTTTATTAGATAATACTACTTAGTTACTGTTTATTGAAAATAAATTAAAGAAATCTTGGAAAACTCTAGATTGCTAATCGTTTTACGAATAGGTATATAAGTAAAAAGTGTAATTTAGAAGTCCACTTAAAATGTAAAAAGAAATTTAAGGACAAATATGTTAAAAAAAATGTTTATAGATAATTAATGTATACACAATAACTAGGGAAATGTATCGCATGAAATTATAATTCGGTAAGACGGAAAGGTCCAGTTTTGAAAAAAATGTAATAAATCAGCAGAAGTCACTTCAAAAGACAGTGAAATGTTCAGAATATATTCAATATAAGATATTGACATACAAAGATAATTAAATTAATAACATAATAACTACCTATTTGAGACTGGAATTTTAATTCAGAGACGTTATCAGCCATCGATCATGAAAAAGCGAAGATCAGTGTATCGAAGATACCGGACGTATTGCAATAATATTACATCAAAATTACTATAGATATTATTTTAAAAAATCAACAAACTCCTACTTTACTTTAAATTAAATTAAATGAACAATTTCGGAACTATGTGGGTAAATTAGTGTAGAAACTAAAAATTGATCTTATGACTATAATATTACAACAGTTAAGCTCGCACCAAATTCTCCAGTACGACATAATATACTAGCGGATTTTAAAATGACATAAGGAATTTTTACTATTAGAAAACATGTATGTACACAACTCAAAATTGAGTTACCAACCCCTAATGTACTCACAATGCGAATTACGATTATAGTTAATAATAATAGCGACAATCCAGTTCAAGACAGTAACAACTCGAAATATGACAAATCAGAGTTGTGTACACAATCTCATAGACGATTACAGTTCAAGAAGTACGCGAAAAAACATCGTCAAATTCAACGACCACGAGGGAGCATTCTCAATATTATAATTTACACAGAGAAACAATATAGAAAACCCATTATATAGCCAATAAAACGATATAAAAAACACATTATATAGCGAATAAAACAATATAGAAAACCCATTATATACCCAATAAAACGATATGAAAAACACATTATATAGCGAATAAAACGATATAGAAAACCCATTATATATACCCAATAAAACAACATTCCGAGTCGTTGCACAGAATAATATATTTACCTCTAGGTATGGGCTGCATGCCGACAATACGACTTTGTGGGCCTTTAGGTATTGACCCTCAGCCGCCAACGTGCAATCGACCAACGTGCCGCTCTCCAGCAACGTGTCGAATACGCTGATCAACGTGCTCTGGTGGTTGTTCCAGCGCAGACAAAAATGTTGGTTGTCTCCCGCCATGCTTGCTTATCACAGTACTATGAAAAGAAAAACAAGTCATTAGAAAACGTATTCGAAACGGAAACGTGCGGAAAAAATCAAAATATGCGTTCGCAACTCACCTTAAAATTTAAACAACATTTACAAAATTTAAACTTTTGTAAAAAAAAAAATTATCGTTTGACAACGAGTAACAAGGGCGCGTTATTTTTTTTTTGGTTTAATACTGAGTAGTAACTTTTATCAAGTCATTTAAAAAAAAAAAAAACAAAATAATTGTCGAAAAATAAAAAACGGTTTAATAAATAAATAAATACTTTTCAAGTTACGTAACGTGCGTCTGACGCGAGACTGTGAAGTAATGAATATGAAATACTATCAACAACGTTTTAGCGGGGGTCGTTTGATATTTTTTTTTTTTAAAGTGGCGGAGCAGCGAGCACGTCCGTCCGACTTCACATCAAGTACGAAACAAAGCAAGAGCCGGGACCGCGTCCGGGTCGGCGGCCGTCGGGCGGTGCGCAGAACGCGAATTTCGGCGCCGCGCGCACGAGCCGCCGAATACGACGCGGCCGGTCCCGTGTTCTGTGACGGAACGGAGCGCGTCAGCCGGCCGACGGTCGACCGAGTCCGTCGACGGTGCTCGGCCGGCGGGGCGCGCGGGCGACGGTCGGTCGGGCGGCCAGCCGAGTCAGGAACAGAACACGGCACCGACGTCGGGTGTGGCTTGTGGCGGCTGCAAGTAAGCCGGTCGGCCGCCCGCCCGCCATCCGTCGACGGTGTGTCGGTGCTGCGCGGCGGGGCGGGGACGGGCCGTTTGCCGGCTGACGGAACGATGTTCGGCACCGAGCCAGAAACCGACGAACGGACGAAAACTCCGCGTTCCCCTCCGCCCACCCTTCCCCCCTCTGCCGCCGTAGCCTCATGCTTGATCGAGTCTAAAATCTAGAGGTCCGCGGCGGCGGCGGCCACGCACGGTAGAAACTAGAAAGTACACGATATGATTTGATTTGATTTAACGACGGACGGACACTATATTATTGTTATTATTCGCAATAATTATTAATAATATTATTTTGTCGCGTTCCACCTGGGGGACGCGAAACGGCCGTTGTTATTGCGGTAATTTCCCCTCCATTAACGTTCGCGAGATTATCGTCGACGCCGGGGGCCATTTTCTTCTTTTGCGTTTCCCACCGCTAATTTTTAAAGATTAAATTTTACGAGACGTAACGACATCGTATTGCGATATGTTTGAAGCTAAAAAATATGATTTCAGTGACTCATTGTCGAACGGTTAACATAGCTCTCTCGTCCGCGCCGGGCAGACATGTTCGGCCCGTTTACTAATCACGTGGGTTCATGTTAAATAATCATTTAAATTTAAATAATCATGTATAATACAATAGAATAACGATATTATGATATAATTAATTATGTTAAACGTCCGGTTGACCTGTACGTCCGAATTATCGACGAAATAAATCCTTATTAGCTTTTTCGATCAAAATAAAACGTTAAAAACGTCCGTCCGCAACCCACTGGAGTGCTGCTGGACACGCCCGAAATTTTTTAAAAAAGCTTTTCGAGAGATTTTATCATAGCACCCATGTTGGTTTTCCATGCTCATAATATTATTATCAAATAACATTATTTTGTTTTATAATAATTAATATTATTTAGATCTAATAAAATAGCAATAGTAATATGTTATTTCCTTTCCTTTCCTCGCGCGCTTTTTGCCTACTCAAAACCATCGGTCAGACTTCATTGATTAATATTCTATTCACGTGTTATCGCAACACAAACAATCATGAAATATAAAAGTTTAATAAAATTTTTACTGCCGGGACATCGATGCTTTATTTGTATTTTTCGTAAAACGACGAATTTCCTACGAGTCATCGATATTGATAAAATATTATGATACGACGTAATTGGTATGTCGTTGTACCTATCGTGTATGTACCTCATAAAGTATAATAATATTATTGTGTAAGATAAAACTAATAACTATAATACCTACTTGTGTACTAGTGTTGTCCTACACGATAGTACAAGTACTACTACTCGTATATTATCAATATTGATATTGTTATTATTGCAATATTTACTAAAGATAATAATATATTGTCACTCAGTTATCATGATAACCAATTTGTCGAATTATTTACACTGCTCGTGAGTTATGTGAAAATAATAAATATGAAAACCTGTAATATTTTATCTAGGCTCTATCTAGGCCGTTTTTTACAACAATTTTTGGACAACAAAATACTACAGTGCCTATTATAGTATAAAATACGTAAAATAAGTGTTCAATTGAGATCACGTGAATAATCAATACTATAATAAATTTGTTTAATCAGTATTATGGTTGATTTAACTAACGGGTTTTCAGGAAAAAATGAGTGACTTATTATGTCGTGAATTCGACGCAGTTCCGGAATACATTAATCATCACACAGAATTCAACTTATTCGGCAAACTTGTGTTAAATAACAGTAAACAGTATTGTGTACCTACTACCTATGGTAAACTATTTCCTAATCGTAGCTTTAAGCCGCGTACACATTTGTAACATTTGCGCGTAACATCCATTGATGCGGCCAAATTTACCGACAATTGGTGGAACGGTGTTATGGCGTTACGGCGTAACAGAAAATGTTACAAGTGTGTACGCGGCTTTATACTCAAAGGACGACACACCCACATGAGTTATCTCCGTCTTACAAATGTAAAACATAGCGAAAACTAATTTTGCGGGGGACAACTTTAATCCTTCTGTATTTATTACCAAAATTCCACAACGTATATTATTGTCCAATCAATAAAAACACTACGACACTATTGACCATATTTTGACAGTATTTTCTAATAAAACTATAATAATTTTTAAAATGATATGCAAACGCTTGAATAATAATTTAGATTCTGAGCAGAACGATGAGTGTATTGATTTTATAAAAATTGTTTTTTTTTTTTATGTTTCTATATTTATATCTAAAGATTTCAAATTCAATATAAGATTCCCCTTAAGTTTTCCTACAGTAAAAATTCAAATTAATTTTTACGATCTCTGATACAACGATTTCCTTATTTTGTCGTTATTCAAAAATTAATAACTGTACTTGAAATTTTCATCGAATGTTTATTTGATCATTTACTATGCATGCAGTTTTGAGATATTTATAGACATTTGACATTAGCAGTTGATAAATATTAAAGATCCATGGACATAATTTTTTAGTAGATTGTATTTAAAAGTTTTAACAATGTTCTATATAAAAGAAGTATTTAAAGTTCAAATTTTAACAAATTTTATCAAAAAATCGAAAACTATTAACTATTGTAATTAAAAAATTAAAAAATGTTCAATTTTTATAGCTAAGAAATTAACATTTCAAACAAAGATTTTCAAAAATAGTTCTATAACCAAAAATCTAAAAAAAATTACCAGTATTATTTTGTACAGTCATTTTAAATTCAAATTTGAACTAAATTACATATTAATACCAAGAATAACGTTCTTAGTTATTTTGTTGTAATTTAAAAATATTATTCAGGTATGTGAAACTCTTACAGTTTATTATTATATTGTATACATACAATAACATTTTCAAATGTATTTTTTTTGCAAAAATCAATTTAACCTACTGTTCTATACTAATGCCTCAAGCCTAATAGTAAAATAAATCACTTTAATCACGATAATATCATGATTCATGAAATATACTTAGTAATATTATAGGCTGAGTGCTGACAGATCGTCTTCGCTCAGAATCGTTTTTCGTATACAATAATTTTATATTTTTATATCATCGAGTTCAAATTTAACACCATCCAACTAATTCACACTTTTAACCTACTGTACTCTATACAGCAGACTCAGAAGAGTGAATTCTACTAAAGTGCTTTTTATACATTTTATCGCTGTTAAATATAATTAATATAATATTATCAATTAACATTGATAATAAATAGCAATGTATTTACTATTTACTAACTTCGTATATTTCTATATTTCTATAACTGAACTCCATCCACGGCTTTCAGCTGTATAAATACAATTTTGTATACATTTATCTATTATAGTTTTATACTATTATTTTCAGTGGCAAATGATTCATTCTATAATTTTTAGACAACTTCATCATCATGTTATTTATTTTATTATATGGATCTACTAACGTACAAGTTACAACACACATAATAACAATAAAATATGTATTAAATTGCCATTTATTACTGATATGCAATCAATGTGTAATGTGTAAACAATATTTAAATTTCATAATTATAGGTATATTAATATTAAAAAATAATTAAACAATTATTATAAATTTATAAACGAATGCCAAAAACTCGTGTACCGCAAAATCGTTAAACGTAACCAGCTGAGATCTAAATTCAATTAAAAGAAAAAACTTCAAATTTTAATATCTAATTAATCATTATAATGTATAATACATTGAATATTTATACATTGATGGACTATGGCACTATGCTGACAACTGATATCAACAAAACCAAGTTTCCTTCCCAGCTATAGATTTAAATGTCGGGATACTTATTATTAAGTTATTCGATATTGATTCGTTAAATTATTTTTCTATCAGGGTTTTTTTAGTGTGCAGTGAGACACATTTTGTGCAGCGAGAAAAGTAATTGTGCAATGAGATTTGTTACTCTGTGCAGTGCAAAGAAAGAATTTCATCATGATATATTTTATTGTATATTGCAAAACAATAATTGAGTAAACTTCAAAAATAAAAAAAAAAATGTTTCTATTAAAATTAAAAATTGTATATATTATTCATTATTATACTGTTTTTTTTTTAAACAAATAAAAATATCTACCACCTTTAAGCACATGTTTGTGGTGGTGGACGGTGGTAGAGTGTTAAATTATAACTAATATTAAATTACAACAGTTGAATATAATTCTTTATTATTTATTCAAGTACCTACCTATTGAAAATAACCAATCATAATATGTATAGAATATGTCCCTTTTTATA